TGGAATATCGACCTAATGCAAATACAGCAATATTATGAAAAACAGGTCATGCTAAGAAGAGGTCACATACGAGAGAGGGAGGGTAAAAGAAGGAAGTTAAGAAGGTGAATATGGTTGATGTACTTCCTATACAAGATAAATACAGAATTTTTAAACTTGTTGAAATCACCATAAGAAGAAGACTAAAGTAGAAAGGAGAAAAATAGAGAAGATGAACCAATTCAGGTTATAATACATATATACAATAGAAATGTCACAAGGAAACTTCCTGTACAGCTCTTTTAAGCAAACGAAAATCATTTTTTTTCTTTTACAAAATCAGAGAACAGGAAGGCAGAACAAGTCCTGTGGGGGGGGGGAGGTTGGTGCCAGTGGGAGAGGAGAGGATGTGGGGAAAGTGTGGGAGGGTGAATATGGTGCAAATACTGTGCGCACATGTATGTAAATGGAAAAATGAGACCTGTTGAAACTACTCCAGGAATGGGGGATGTGGGGGATGAAGGAGATTGATGGAGGGGGTGAATTCAAGTATGATATATTTGATACACTGTAAGAACTTTTATAAATATCACAGTGTACCCATAGCACAACAATAAAAAAAAAGAGAAGACATAAGCACCCTCCAAAACTAAACTAAAAAATAAAAAAGAGTGAAGAAAGCAGGGAATCCCTGTGCAGACCAGGAGACCAGTGTGGTCCAGAGGAAAAAGCACTAGATGAACCACGAGAGACCTCTGTTTCTGTCCTAATCACCAAACTGCTGTGCATTGTTGGGCATTCCTTTCCCCTTCTCCAGGCCTCAGACCTCCCAGCTGCCAAATCCTGGTCAGATGCCCTGCAACGGGCCTGACATCTAAGGTAGAGACATCTAAGGTAGCAGGCATTTTGGGATGGCCTCTGGTAAGAAAGGAGCTGCCAGGTGGCATGAAGATGAAATGTGTAAGTTATTCATGCAACTGACAAACCATGTCACCAGGCAGTCTCCATGGGGTCACAGTAATGAGTGGTTTAATCTTCCCAAAATGGTAAGCAGGGGAGAGAGAGAGAGAGAGAGAGAGAGAGAGAGAGAGAGAGAGAGAGCGAGCTTTACAGTGTAGAAACCTGACACATGGCCTCAGTCAGGGGCTGAAGGTCAACATCACAGCAATAACTCACCCTGACAGGATGTGATGAGAACACACTTTACCTCTGTAGTCTTTCTCCCAACAACTCGTGGCCCTGGTAGTATGAGAAAAACACCAGACAAATCCAAACAGAAATTCTACAAAACACCTGACCAGTGCTCCTGAAAAACATCAAGGTCATCACAAGCAAGGGAAGACCGAAACTGTCACAGCCAAGAGGAGTCCAAGGAGATGCACATAATTAATTGTAACCTGGGGTCCTGGAACTGATAAGGGACCTAAAAACCAAGGAAAACTGAATCATGCATCAATATTGGTTTATTCATCGTGACAAATGACGATATTGACGCAAGATGTTAACAAGGACCACCTGCCCCAGAGTCTGTGGCTCTTCCCTCCCAATTTCCCTTCCTCTCTTTTCTCCAGCGCTTTTCTCTTCCCTCCCTTCCCGCCCTCCCTCTTTCCCTCCCTCCCTTCCCTCCTTCCTCCCTCCCTCCCTTCTTTTCTCTTCCCTCCTTCCTCCCTCCCTTCCCTCCCTTCCTCCATTCCTTCTCTTCCTCCCTTCCTCCCTTCCTCCCTCCCTTCCTTCCTTCCTCCCTTCCTTCCTCCCTCCCTCTCTTCCTCCATTCCTTCCTTCTTTTCTCTTCCCTCCTTCCTCCCTCCCTTCCCTCCCTTCCTCCCTTCCTTCCTTCTTTTCTCTTCCCTCCTTCCTCCCTCCCTTCCCTCTTCCTTCCCTCCCTCCCTTCCTTCCTTCCTCCCTTCCCTCTCTTCCTCCCTTCCTTCCTTCTTTTCTCTTCCCTCCTTCCTCCCTCCCTTCCCTCCCTTCCTCCATTCCTTCTCTTCCTCCCTTCCCTCCTTCCTCTCTTCCCTTCTTCCCTTCCCCCTTCCCTCCCTTCTGTCCTTCCTCCTTCCCTTCCCTTCTTCCTCCCTTCCTTCCCTTTCTGCCTTCCTTCTCCTTCCTCCTTCCCTCCTTCCTCCCTCCCTTCCCTCCCTTCCTCCTTCCTCCCTCCCTTTCCTTCTCCCTCCCTTCCCTCCACTCTTCTTCCTTCCTCCTTTCTCCCTCCCTTCCCTCCCTCCCTCCTTTCTCCTCCCTTCCTCACTTCCCTCCCTTCCTGTCTTGAGTCTTGCTACGTAGCCCAGGCCGGACTTAAACTCTGATATTCCTCAGTGCTGGGATTACAGATATTTGTCAACATGCCCAGCCTCACAATTTTTTTTAACAAATCTAAAACTATTCTAAAAATAGCTCATTATTTTTTAAAAGGAGCTAACACGAGTGAAGGGTGAAGTCATGGCAAATATTTCTACAAATATATTCTAGGAAGAGAGCCAAGTGGGCTCTGTATTTAAACTGGGACCCTACACCTTTCACTGGAATGCTGGTACATGTCAGGCTTTCTGTCTGAGTGCCATATATGCATTCAGTTTGGAATGACTGCATGAAGTAAGTTCTGAGAACAAGAGTGTGTGATAGACTGGGATGACCGGGAATAGGGGAGCTGGATGGGCAGCAGGAGACTCTGGAAACACTGTGGAGATGGCCAAGTGGGTCAGCCTGCCCCTGCGAGGGGGCTGCTCTGCGGTTGTCACAGACTGGTCTGCCTCCGTGCCCAGTGTGCCTAGTCTGAGCCATGTTTTCACTGAGAGGAGACTTGAATAAAAAAAAAAATAAGGTAGAAAACCACCTTCAGCAAGGTGGGCTGGGAGAGGCAAGCGTCAAAGGCAGGACCCCTCCTCAGTTTTAAATGAGTGGGCATGGTGGGCTGTTTGGGTGAGTCCCATTAGTAATGGTTGAAATCTCACAACCATCAAGGATTTTATTACTAACCCTATTTTTCAGATTGGCAAAACCAAGGCCCACAGAGTTATATCAGTACCCAAAGCCACAAAGGCTCCTGGGGACTCCAGGTGTCAGGGCTGGCTTTGAACCCAAGTCTGTACCAAAGTCTATTCTTAACCATTCCACACACTGCTCCTGGGAACTTATCCTTGACATTCTGTGGTGCAACACGTTCATTTCTTTAAGGGTATCTGAGGCCCAGCCAATCTCAAACTTGGCTCAGAATACTGCTGAAAAGGCAGGGTTTCTCTCTGTCCCCCTGCAGTGTGGGCACTGAGTTCTGGACAGCAGCTTTTTTGGTTTCTCTGCAGAAGGCGAGGGTACGTCCCTGGTCAGGCCACCTTCCCACCCTCCCCTGCGGCTGCTGGGATTCCAGCTGTCTGGCCCTTCTTGCTGTCTTAACTAAGATGACAGGCTTCAGGTGTTTTTTAAATTAAAATGGTTTGTCTCTCTGTTCATCTCTTTTCCAGATGTTTCTCCTAGAGGGAATCTGTCTTTATTTATTGGCTCTTTCCTGTGCAGAATCCAAGGGAGACTCCCTCTGACTGAGACCCCGGGGAAGACAGCCATATGTGGGGAGTGACTGAACCAGCACATCAGGAGCCTGGGGTCCCTGGGGGCTCAGGACAGGGCCATGGCAGAAGCTGTGGGAGGTGAGTTTGCCATTAGGGTTTTCTCCCGGCCAAGTGGAACATGTATGGTGTGTGGCAGGGTTGGCATGTTCTTTGCTGGGCTGGGTGGCTGGAATTTATGAGAGGCTAATGAGGCCCTGTGCCCATGTCTTTCAGGTTGCCAGCTGTGGCCCAGTGGAGTGTGTTCCTATTAGACAGTGGACTGAGAACTACCTGTGAACTGCAGGCCAATTTCTGGTTATCACCCATGACTGTCCTCTCCCCCCTCTGCCTAAACTCAGCCATTACAAATCAGTGTCTGCTATGACCTCCGGTCCATCTTCCTCTTCCACTCCAGCCCTCTCCTACCCATCCTCCAGTAGCGGCCAGAAGAGCCATCAAAAACTCAGGGGCCTGGCAGGGTGGCACAGGTCTGTCACCGCAGCTAGGTGGGAGGTGTAGTTACGAGGACCATGGTCAGAGGCTGGCCCTGGGCGAAAGTACAAGACCCTAACTAAAGCGAAAAGGGCTGGAAGCATGGATCAAGCAGTATAGCTCCTGTCTAGCAAGCGCAAGGCCCTGAGTTCATAACTCAGTATCAACTGACGCGGGAGCAGTTGCCTCCCACCCCTGCTTCTGGCACCCCAGGCCTCGTCTCTCCCAAAATGAAGCCCAAATGCTCCAGCCAGCCTGGAGCCCTTTCCAACCATTCCTCCTAGCTCTCTAGCTGCCTGTCCTTGCTCACACTGAGCACAGCTTCGTGTTGCCCAGCACAACACTCACTCTAAGCCGCACACCAGGCCCTCTGCCTGCTCCCTTCCCAGTGGCCCTGCCCAAGGTCAGCTATTCTGCAAATACTTCTGCACCCTGGCCTGCAGAGTCTGGACAAGTTCCCTGGGAGGCATGTATGGCACCATACTGCCACTTCCTGTGCACTCACTGAACCTCATGAGGGTGGGGGCACATCCAGTCCAGTGCCCTGCATAAGTGCAGCACAGAGCAGGGGCTGGAACAGTTGTCTTCCCAGGCTAGGACCTGTATAGATTATCCTGCTCCCAGGGGTACTTGACTCTGCTGGGCATGTACTCGCAGGGCTTCGGTGGGCAGACAGTATTGCTAACATCTCTTTGGGGTGTCTGAGGGTCCTGGTGGTGCCCAGTATTTCTCACGAGATAGAACTAGTCCCCTCTTGAGGGACTGTTCCTCTGAAATCAGCTTGGTGGATTGAGTTGGCAATATGGCAAGGTCAGGACCCTGGCCTAGGAGTTAGAGCTGAATCCAGGACTGGCTGGGCCTCAAGTTCCCCATGAATCAAACAAGGGGCCGAAGGAGTCCCTGCCCTCTGGCCTCCTGTGCCTTTAGGTGCTTGTGTGCCCAGCAAGGCCTGGATAGAAATGAGCAGAACTGAAAGTGGTGGTGTGTTACCCCTTGCTCCTGACAGATCTGCGTCAGTCTCTCCAGCTGCTCTTCTTGGATGACCTTGGCCTTCTCGTACTGCTGGATGACCATCTCCATCTCCACCTTCACTGGCAGGACATATGCTGGAAGACAGAGGAAGCCCTGTGAAGAATGGGGCAGTGGCAGGGTTCAGGCTGGGGTGGGGTTGGCTCAGCATTCAGTGAGAAGAAGCTTGAAGGCCCAGGCTCAGTTCCCTGGGGACCAGAAGGAGGGCATCCAGGTATCCAACAGAGTCCAGAGAGCACAAGAGGGCAAAACCCAACTTATTGTGCCCAAGAGGTCAGTTTCCTCCTTCTCCATAATGACAGAGCCCTTAATTTTTGGCTGTGTGCACAGATGCCTGGAATAATGACTGTTCTTCAGCCCTCCTGGCAGCTACGGGTGGCCATAAGACACATTCTGGATAATGGGGTGCCAGTGGACGCAGCAGAAGCTTCCAGGAGCCTTTGATAACTCTTAGATGTTCAAAAAGAAAAGACAAGCTAGACATGCTACTGTATACCTATAATCCTAGGTACTTGGGAGGCAGAGATAAGAGGATCTGGGCTTGAGGCCAGCCTGGGTAAAAGTTAGCAAGACCTTATCTCAAAATACAAAAACAAAAACAAAAAAACAAGCTGGGTGTGGTGGCATATACTTGCAATCCCACCTACACAGGAGGCAGAGGTAGAAGGATCACAGTCTGAGCCTGGGCAGTGCAAAAGCACGAGACCTTATCAAAAAATAAACTCAAGCAAAAAAGGGCTGAAGGAAGGTTCAAGTGGTAGAGCACTTGCCTAGCAAGTACAAGGCTCTGAGTTAAAAAAAAAAAATAGATAACTTGCATCCTGGTCTAAGGTGGCAGGTGAGGCCACTTGGTGTGTGGTGTATGTGACTATGCCCATGCTGGGCCCTGGGATCAGGAGTTGTGGGTACAGTGGCCGAAGAAGAAATATCAGTCCCTTCTTGGGTATGTTAGAACAAGCGTGCACACAATGAATGAATTGGTCCTGACTGGAGTCCAACAGGTAAGGGACTCTGGTTTGGAGGTTGCTGGTACATCCATAGCCTCTTAAAATTTGAGCTTGACATTGAGGATGACACTTCTACCACAGAGCCCAGTACTGCTCTAGAAAGCACAGGATGGAAAGGCATCACAGGTCATGTCAGGGCTCCAAGCTGGGCCTATGGCTGGCAGTTGGAAATCCCTGATCTGATTCAGAAGGAGGGCTCAAGCCACTGAGGCAGGACAGAGGGACTTTCTGCAGGCTCCATTCCTTTTCCTGTTCACCCTTTCCATTCATCTAGCTTTTCCCTGCCCTCACACCTCTCCCCCAAGTACTGCCAGTGAGTTTCTAGATTAGGCTGCATGGGAAGGGGACTTGGACCTTGCAAAACCAAGAGGTAATTTATGTCCCCTCCCCAGGCAGAGCAGTATGAGGTCCTGCAAGCATAGGGGCAACTGAAAATTAGGACATGGTGCTTTCAGCTTCTGGAGATAACTCATCAACAAAAGTTACTTCCATAGACAGGTAGCTAAGTAGTTAGATTAGATAGATAGATGATAGGTAGATGATAGAAAGATAGAAAGATGGATGATCGATAGATAGACAAACAGACAGCAGGCAGGCAGATAGATGGGGCTTTCCTTTGTTTCTTTATCTTCTTTCTTCCTCATCTTCCCTCCTGGCTATGAGGATGCAATGGTTGGCACTGGTGCAGCCATCCTAGACTATTTGTAGCAGAGCAACAAAATGGGACTCCAGGACCTTGACTACAGACAGCAAGTGTCATATCATCCCCTGTAGGTAGTGGTACCTGTGGGCAGTGATACCTGCCACCTAGCTGTGGACTTTCATATGAGAGAACGAGGCTTCTGCTTTGTTAAAGTCACTGCTATCCTGGGTCTCTTATAGATGACCGCCCCCTTTTTTTAAGCAACTGATGCACATGGACTCTGATATGAAAGCCCCAGAATTTCTCAGCTGAGAGCAGCCCTGTGAGCCCTTCCCTAGTGACGTCTCTGATCTTAGCAGCCTTGGGCAACTTGGGAGTCTCAGTATTAACTCCTGATCTTGACCTGGCCTCTGCCGTGGGCACCATTCTCACACCTCTCAGAAACCCTTCCTGTTTCTTCAGGAACCTTGGTCACATGTTCTTGCCACTGCATTCTAGAACCCTCCATATCTCTACTCTCCAAGTTCCCTTTCCACACACAGCTCTCCCATCTCTAGGCCTAGAGCTGCCCTGAGTTGCTGCCACCTCCTGGGCTCCTGCTGAAGCCGTGGAGTATCAAATTCACACCCACCACTCACAAGCAGCACATCCCCACACGTCCCCATCTGGGGCTCCCAGTGCTTGAGGTGTCAGGAAAGGGGAGGGGGTGAAACATCTGGGAAGAGTGTTCCCAACCAGGACTGTCAGAACCCATTAGCGTGAGGATGCACATCAGTCCACAGCTGGCAGAAGGAGCCAGAAGGCACTGTTCCTGCCTTGCGGGGGGCAGATGTTCTCATGGACAGAGCCAAGAAAAGGACCGAGCAGACGAGGTGAAGCCAATGGCCAGAAGAGCAAAGGGAGTGTCCTGGGCCGTGGGCTCCACTTGTGGTTCTGAGCCTGATTTGCAATGTTACCCTCATTGTTCTTGGACTCAGTTTCCCCTCTATCAATGAGGGGAATACCTGAGTCATCTTCCAGAGCCTTTCCAGCCTTCCGAAGTTAGCAGCACATTTCAGCTTGATGAAGATGCTGAATTAGGGCACCTGATGAGACATCTTTTCAGAACCCAGGCTCAAGGCCACAGCATGGGGACAGGGAGAAGCTGTTCTCTTCAGAACGAGAGACCCTGGAGGCCATCCTGCCTGACTTGTACCTACTAGGCAAATGCTGTTGGTCACAGCCTCTATCAGTGACAGTCATATATCAGGGCTGGAAATGACATTAATGTGTATTGCAGTGGTTCTAAACTCTGTTCCAGCAGCTCCTGCAAGTTGCCTGTGAGGACACAGAGGGTGAGAACATCTGGGCACAGCTCTCTAGTCACTAGGAGCTGAGTGAGAGGGCAGCCTCTGCCTCCGATGGCAGCAAAAGCAACGACATAGCAGGAAGCAGATTGGACAGGCATACATGTCAGTGCAGATGAGTGAAGAAGGGGCTGGAACCTGCCCAAGCTAGCAGCTCCCATGGAGAAGTTCTCTGGTTGTTTTCAGGTTGACAAGTTTGGAGACACCAAGCCTGTCCTTGGTGGATACAGGTGGGGCAGAACCTGCAGGACTAAGGCTTTGTCCAAATGACCTGGACAGAGCCAGTGATGCGTCTGTGGGCCACTGGGAGGCCTGCTGCCTCTTTTTATTTACTTACTTTGGTGGTACTGGGGTTTGAACTCAAGGCCTTACACTTGCTAGGCTGTCACTCTACCACTTGAACCATCCCTCAGATAGGATCTTGTGTTTTTATGCCCAGGCTGGCCTCAGACCTCAATCCTATAGCCTCCCCTATATCTGGGACTAGAGGCACCTGACATCATGCCCAGCTCACATGTTCTTTCCAGAAAGAAAACTCCTGTGTGAGAGCTGGGCACGCAGGCACACAGCAGGCAGGTGCACGACGATGAACATGTGACCTCCAATGGGTAGCTGGAAGCTCTGGTGTTTGCGTGTGACACCTGAGTGGCGTGCGAGTGGATCCTGAATGCGATGTTGAGTGGTCAGGACAGGCTTGGTCCTCCCATGCTGGGAGTCTCACCCTCCCTGCGTGGGTCACTCTTCTCCCCGCACCCATGGCCTCTCCCTTCTCAGGCCACTCACCATCAATGACCCGCTTCACCCGCCAGATCCGGAGCACGATCATAAGGCTGACGGCGTCCCAAGGACTCCTGGGCCCATTGGCCACGGTGGATGCCACCATCGGGGCTAAGGACAGGATGATTACAGCCCCATCAAACACCTGGCAGAGGAGGCAGATTTCAGTGCTGTATGGGGGGCCGGAGGGCAGCCGGGTAGGAAGTCAGGGCTGGTCAGGTTCTGCAGGGGGCTATATCCCATCAGAAGGTCATCCTATCTCTGGTTGCCTACCCCAACCCTCCTCAGTCCTGAGAGGCCTTCCCACTCCTGGACACGCTCTCTCTGTCCTCCCCATGACCTCAGCCCATCCCTGTCCCTTAGCTCAGATGGCTTTGGGCTGTCCTGTCCCTCAGGGTGGGGCCTGTATCCTATGTCCTGGATTCAGGGCAGAGGCTGGGTAGAATCCCCCACCGTGTGTGTGTGTGGGGGGGCTCTTTCCCTGCGAGTAGCAGAAGTCTAGAGCCTACATGTAATTTCTAATGGGACACGGAGTCCCTAACCTCTCAGGGAGGCAGGGCAAAGAGAGGAGGGGTCAGCCCACAGGATTAAGTCTTGGGTCCTGACCCTCCACCTGTCTGCCCCAGCCTGGCCTTTTCTGAGCCTTTTCAGGGACCATGCCCTCTGTGTTGGTTCCCAGCATTGAGGCTGAAATGTAGGCAGACCAGTGAGAAAGGAGAGGGCAACCAGCAATGGACACCTTGCCTTGGCCTCTGTACACAAAGCCAGGCTTCCCACACCACATGTCCCCACACCACATCCCTGACCCTTTTACCTGGAGCACAAGGAGACCCCAGGCTGAGCAGTGTTTTTAGAACTTCCCTGCTCAGGGCCCCAAGCACTGGGCCATTTTAGAATGGATTTATTTGTTTTAAAACACATTACAAAAGCTTTTCAAATTGATTCAGTCACAACTTTTTAATTTTGCAGGATTTCAAGAAGACTGTATTAGAAAGTTCCTTTGTTGGAAATGGTCTCAGTTCACCCCTTCCCAGACTCTGCCTCCTCCCCACCCGACCCAGCACTCACAGCAGAAGAGACTCCTGTGGGCAAGTGCAGAAAGCAGCCAGGCTTTCTCGTTGGCTCCCACCCCAGGACGGATGGGACAGGGACATTTTCCAGCTCCCAGGATGTCTGGGTTGGGGGGTGGGTGGGTGAACACTGGTCTTTACCTCAATTTTGTTTTCAATGTAATCCCAGATGCCCAGCACCACAATCCGCAGAACAGTCTGCAGAGAGGGAGAAAAGTGATTATTTTTCTCCAGTGCCTGCCCCCTCCCCCCAGCAGAGAAGATTCCAGAATCTGGAGCTCTGCTTCTGCGTTCAGTAGCAGGGAAAGGGAGGTTTTTGCCACGCGTCCTCCCCACCCCCACTCCAGTCCTCACAGCACCTCCTGTGGCCCCTCTGGCTGCAGGCTCCGCCCCCTCCCACCTACCTTCCTGCCATCCCCTGGGACCACCTGTGCCAGCACTCACTCAAAAGCCTTCAGTACTCACAGCGCATGCAGAATCCACCTCAATTCCTCAGTTCCCTTGGAGTGATACTGGGGACCCTGCCCCCTCTCCAGCATCCTCTCTCATCACAATACAAAACTATTTACAATCTTCAAGTGCTCAAACTCTCTCCCTATTGCCTGGTCTTTGTATGTTGTGAAGGCTGACAGTTGTCGTCCTCCACATCACTCCTGTAAATGAGCTTCAGTATGGTTGAAGGTAGCTGAAGACTACATTTCCCAGGCTTCCTTGTGGCCAAAGGGGGTCATGTGACTAAGTTCTGGCCAATGGCTGATGAGCAGAAGCACCATGTACAACTTCTAGGTTGTATCCTTAAATAACTAGTCTCTGCTCTTCCTCCTCTTTCCCTCTTCTAGAATGTACCTATGTAGATGTGGTAGTGAGCTATTTTCAACTAGGGAGGGTTGGGCAATGAGATGGAAGCCTGCCAGGTCTCCACCAGCCCCAAGCTACCACATTAGCCTTAAGTGCCTATCAAACAACCTGTCCTTCCAGGGTAGAAATTAATTTGGTCTTGTTTAAGTCTCTTTTTCTTGTTATAGTGGCTTGGCCTGTGTCCTAACCAGCAGCTTGCATTCCCTCTTGTTCCAGCCTTGGCTTAAATGTCACTTCTGTGAAGTTCCTTCCTGTCCCCAGGCTCAGTGAGTGCTTCCCAATGTTTATGCAATTCTTGTGTTGTCACTCTCCCACAGATCTGCATTGTAGCTTGTGGTAGTTAAGGCTCAAGAGACACTGTCTGAAACTAGGCATGGTAGTGCAAGCCTATAATCCAGGCCACCTGGGAGGCGGAGGCAGGGGGATCTTGAGTTTGAGGCTATAGGCAAAATTAGAGAGATACTATTTCAAAAGCAAAATAAAAGCAAAAGGGCCAGAGAAGTAGCTCAAGTGGGTAGAGCAAAGTGTGAGGCCCTGGGTTCCATCCCAGTAATACACACACACATACACTGTCTGATCTCTCCCTTTCACCCCTAATGCTAGGCATTAGGGGTGACAAGTCACTGTAAAGGTGTGAACAAATGAATTTGTGACCCCTCCATGTCACAGCCTCCAGGAACAATTACTTCACCAAGAGTACATCTTTCTCCAGAAAAGATGCTTAAAAGCTGGTCTTGTATGATCCTGGTACATTTGTGTTAGGTCCTTCCTTGAGCTGACATGCCTTTAATTCACACCAGATGGTGGTCCCAGTGCTGCCTGCCTGGAGTACAAGGCCAGCCTCAGGAAGTCAGGGAAGGAGCTGAGAGTCCATGGGTTACCACCCACACTTGTTATACTTGAGAAAAGACTGGCGAAATCCACCTCTCCCCCTTTAAGGACCAGGCTGATTTCAATGAAGGGATGAGAAAGAGGGATGAGGTGGTAGTCAGTAATGTTACCTTAGGAACATATGACAGTCTGGTGTCCAGTCTTTTATGGCCCCCATCTCTCAGGATTGGTACACTCATGCTTAACTATAGGATAGCACCCAGGATGGGTGGGAGTTCAAGATATCTTCAGGCCATAGCTCAGTAATAGTCCTCCAGGAAGTCAAATCCTCTCTTTGAGACCTCAGTTTCCCCTTCTGCCAGAGAGGTGGGTTAGATGAAAGGATTCTCCCAGTTATTTATGAGAATAACACCTGTCATCTAGTATCGGCCAAAAAGAGCCAGACACTGAGCTGGCCATCCTCACATGGGATTCTCACTTTACAGAGACAGAGAGGTCATATAGGCAGTTGGGTTTGACTCAGAGGTTTGTGACTTTGCATGGCCCACCTAGGCTGGGTAGGAATGATACATCCAGTCTTGTTTTCTTTTCTTGCTGTCCAATGCCTGTCATCGTGCTAAACTTCAGTCTTGGTGCTTGTCTTCTTTGAAATACAGCTACCCTCAGCCCCCAGATTCCCAATTCTGGGGCTCACAAAGCAAAACACCCAGACTAGGGGAGATGGAAATGGTTTGATCCAAATATAATGACTGCCCTTGGTCCTCCTTCTTCCTCTTTTAGAATCGTGGTAAAAACACACATGACATGGAACTTACCATTTTATCCACGCACAATTCTGTTGCGTTAACTATGCTTACATTGTATGAGTGTCACCTCCACCTATCTCCAGATCATTTCAACTGTCCCAAACTGAAACCCTGTGCTCATGAAAAAACCACTCCATTCTCCCCTCCCCCAGTCCCGGCGGCCTCCATTCTACTTTCTGTCTCTGAATTTGATACTGTAGGAGCCTCTCAGGAAGAATTACTGTGCTTATTCAAAAATGTGAGGCCTGTCTTAGCTGAAAGGCCCAGGGTGGTGGGGTGAGGGAATGAATGGGGAGGGGAGGACAGCAGCTGTCCACACAGGATGGAGGTATCCTGGCTTTGTGGGCCACAGAGGTGCCCTACCAAAGGAAGTGAGCAGAGCAGCTGGAGCACCAGTTGCCTGCCTGACATCTCTGTCCACATGATCCTTGCTCTGAGCCTGTCCACTAACTCTGGGAGCCTTGCCCTCCTAGTCTAGAGCCCGCAGAAACAGCCACGGGGAGGAGGGCTCCGGACACACCTTGAAAGCTGTGGCTGGCTGCTCCAAGTCAGGGTGAAAGCCAGAGTGAGCCCAGCTGTGCAACACCCCACCCACTGGCTTATCCCCAACAGCATTCTTCCTCTCCCTGGACACCTTTGCTGAGCCCCTCTGCCCGTGGATGAAGAGACCTGCCCCAGCACCCCCAGGCCTGGCATGTCCTACACCTCCGACAACTGGCTGATGCTGTCATTGACAGCCATGCAGGCCAGGTTCTCCTGCATCAGCAACATCCGGGTCTTTTGTTTAAAACACAGCTTCCTGGACTCCCGTGGAGACCCAGGCTATCAGACCCTCTGGGTTTAAGGCTGGAATATGCTTTTTAACAACCCCCAGACACCCGCCAGAACCCCAGGGATGTGTAAGGTGACACTGCTCTGGGTTTTGACAGGAGACAGGATGGCCAGGTACAATAAGGAGTCAAGAGTCCTGGACTCGTGGCTCAGACTGCCATTATTAATCATGTGACATTGGCCGGTGCCCTCAGTCCATCTGACTGAGAGTAGATCTGTGGCACCTCCCACGGCCTGCTCACCAGGCTGCTCTGAGGCTCCAGTGCTGGGCAGTGAGCAGAAATTCCTTCATCAGCCACAACCTCCCACAGTCCTAGACCCTGAGAGTGGAGGGGGCAGCTCCAGCTGCCTTTTTCCCATGGGGGTCAAGGGCTTTCAGCCTCTACTCTTGTTTTGCCTTCAGGAGGCTGCTCTGATGATGGAGGCGGGCCAGCGTCTTGGCAAAACCTCAAGGGCACGCCATTTATTGAGTGTTTACTATGAGCCAAACTCTTGTGCCATCTGACAGATGCAAAGACTGAGGCTCAGGTGGCAGGTAGTCCTTCTGGTCCTCAGACCTGCTCTCAGGAAGTGACTCCCCTCATCTTTCCCAAGGAAATACAAGCTGACTTTCTCGACTAGAGGGGTGCAGCTTGCAGGCAGGAGGGGACTTGCGTCTGGTTCAGACCCTGCAGTACTCCACTGGCAGAAGAGTCTGCTGCCCCTTGCCTGTGGTCTAAGTCCCATCCCTCAGATGCATCAGGCTCTTTCCCCTGGGAAGGGCCGATGAGGCTCCTAGAGTTTGAGATCTTGGGGGATGTAAGCAGAAGCACCTGCTAGTCTACAAGTTGGCTTTGTGCAAATTTTCAAAAAGGCACCCCTTCTCTCACAAAGAGTCATCCTCTGCCTCAAGGCTTCATAAGCAGAATGGAAACTGAACCCTCCAGTGCCCTGCAGAGCCATCTCCAAAGTGGGGGTCCCAGTCAGGGAGAAGGGAGCACCTTCTCAGGTCTAGCCCTGAACCCGCAGTACTGCAGCCTGGTAGAGTGGGGAGTGGCTGGTATGTGCCTCCGGACCAGGATCTGAACCCCTGAGGGAGCAGATTTGCTGTTGGGCAAGTTTTCCCAGAGGTTAGACTAACAGTGAGGGGAAGATGTGCATCCCAGGTATACCTACCAGTCAATAAGGAAAGTGAGAAACCTCTGTGCAGGCTGAAACTTACCAGTCTTTCACTGGGGAGTACTTAAAAGAAGTCAGCCAGGTGACACGTGTTTGGGAGGGCTCTTGGGGCAGCCCAAGAGCGCCCCCTTGGGGTCGGGTGTGGATAAAACAGGAGCGCAAGGAAGGGACCAGCATCCTCCTTCACTGTCACTTGTTCTGCTCCAAACCTCTGGGGATGGAGCTGGTGACCTGGAAGGCTGTCTCCTCCCAGAATGCTGTCTTCTCTGGGGGCCTAAAGGACACAGTAGTTGACACCTGCAGGGGCCATGGGCCCACAGGCAAACGGACCTCCTTGTCTCCTCCTACTGCGCTCATTTTGGTACCAGATTCCCAGCTACTTTAAAGCAAGGGGTTCAAGGTTGGTAGGGAAGAGCATGGTGGCAGATATGGGATTAAGTGTTTGCCAATTATGTGATTAACATCGACGGTGGGTGGAGACTGTCCTAGACTGTGTTTGAGGAGGAGACAGACTGAAATACACAAGATAGCAAAGATTAGTTCCAGAACTTCCTCTCAGCACCGGAACATTCTCAAGTCTCTTTCTAAAAGCTCTCTCACGACCCATGTCTTCCTTAAGCTACTGTCCCCTTCCTAGCTCCCCAAAGGACAAAGGTGTCTCCAGTTAACCCTGCCACAATCTGACTCTAGTCGTTGGGGCTGCACAGAACTGGT